TCAGGCAATTCTCCTGCCTCAGCCTCCTGAGTAGCTGGGATTACAGGTATGCGCCACCATGCCCAGCTAATTTTTTGTATTTTTTTTTAGCAGAGACAGGGTTTTACCATGTTGACCAGGATGGTCTCGATCTCTTGACCTCGTGATCCACCCACCTCGGCCTCCCAAAGTGCTGGGATTACAGGCTTGAGCCACCGCGCCCGGCTGTGATACTATTTTTTAAACTGTGAACTTAACAAAAGTTGCAGTATAGAGTTCTATACTCTAGACCTCCATATTCCAAGGCTGTCATTTTATGAATGAGAAGAAACTGAGAAATTCTAATAGCTTTTTGAAAATAAATTATTTCAAATACATAAAAAAGTAATCTACCGCCCTGGCTAAGAAAAATAATTACCAATAGAGCTGAAGTCCTCTGCACATTCCACCTCAATCAAACCTCTCTCCTTGCCAGATCTCTTCTTCTCTTCTTTTACCAGAGGTCAAACACTATTTGTGAATTGTGTGTTATATCATTCCTAGCCTTTCTTTGTATATATTCCTAAATAAGATACAGATTTTATATGTTTTAAAACTTCATTTAAATGCTACCATTTATTTTCCTGTAGCTTGTTTTTTTCACTCATTCTGTTTGTAAGTCATCCATGCTGATACACGTAACTTCCTGGCCAGTCATTACACTATTGTATTAGTACCTCACTGTGTGAATATACCAAAGTTTATTCATTTTCCTTCTGAAGGGCTTCCATATTTTACAACAACAAAAAAATACTTTTAATGTTCATGTATACATCTAAGACAATTTCAGGTTTGATGTCGCGTAATGAAACTGCCAGGATGTTAAGATATATGCATCTTTAAGAAAGTACAAGCTGGGTGCAGTGGCTCCAGCCTGTAATCCCAAGACTTTCGGAGGCCGAGGTGGACAGATCACAAGGTCAAGAGATCGAGACCATGCTGACCAACATGCTGAAACCTTGTCTCTACTAAAGATACAAAAATTAGCCGGGCGTGGTGGTGCTTGCCTGTAGTCCCAGCTACACGGGAGGCTGAGCAGGAGAACTGCTTGAATCCGGGAGATGGAGGTTGCACTGAGCCAAGTTTGTGCCACTGTACTCCGCCTGGCAACAGGCGGAGTTTTTTGAGACATTGTCTCAAAAAAACCTCACAAAACTGCATTCTACAAAGTGGTTATACCTATTCACACTTGCTACACATTAGAGCATTTGACAGGGAAAAATACCAGTACAGCTTTATTTAAAAAAATAAATAAATAAATACTAGAGTATTCCAATCTTTGAAGACCAGGACTTTGAAAACCACCAAGTTATGCAATCTAATTGTCAACAGATCAAGCTATTTAGAAATCTGAATCAAACTTTCTGGGAATAATACTCTTCCAAAGATCCTCCCCTGACCCCTGCCTACTACCTTTCTGTTCATTTCCTCTAGCACCCCTATTGCCAACACTGCTCCCACTTCACAAGACTGCCGATTCGGTCCCCTTCCATTTTCACTATCACTTACCAACACCTGTCTTTCTATACTTCCCCTCGCCCCATGCAGCACAGCTTTCATGATCCATCACTATCATCAACTTTTTTTTTTAAGAGTCTCGCTCTATCACCCAGGCTGAAGTGCAGTGGTGCAATCTCAGCTCACTGCAACCTCTGCCTTCCAGGTTTAAGCGGTTCTCCTGCCTCACCCTCCTGAGTAGCTGGGATTACAGGTATGAGCCACCACACCTGGCTAATTATTATTATTATTATTTTTTTGAGATAGAGTTTCACTCTTGTTGCCTAGGCTGGAGTGCAATGGCGCATCTAGGCTCACTGCAACCTCCGCCTCCTGGGGTCAAGTGATTCTTCAGCCTCAGCTTCCCAAATAGCTGGGATTACAGGCATGCGCCATCATGCCTGGCTAATTTTGTAGTTTTAGTAGAGATGGGGTCTCTCCACATTGGTCAGGCTGGTCTTGAACTCCCGACCTCAGGTCACCCACCAAAGTGCTGGGATTACAGGTTTGAGCCACTACGCCTGGCCTTATTATCAACTTTTAAAAATATCATTACAGTCCCTGTCTCCTCCCTCAAGAGTATTTACTCCACAAAGCCCTGAACCTGGCTGAATCCAACCAATCTCCTTTCTCAAACAGTTTGGGTTTACTTAAAATTTATGGCCACGATTCTTTGCTTGGCACAACAGTGAACACTGGGGCTACAATTTCCCTTGGTACATTCATTTCCCTTTTCTCTTTGACTGTTTTCATACCTTTTCCCCTTATCCAGTTTCGACCCCATGCTGAATTTGATTCTACCACTCTGACTTGTCTGAGAAAATCAGAAATCCCAAAATGGAATACCCTGTTCTTCCAAACACACCTACAAACCTACCTGCACCTATTTCTATATTCCCAGCTATTCTTTCTTCTTGTCATCTGAATCCAGTCCCCTCTTGACTTTTCACCATTACTCCTGCAACAAGCTTTCCCTCTTTTCAAGCCTTACTTCCATCAGCATAAAAACAGGTCCCTGGTATCTCCCATTTAATACTCCCTTGACCCCATCTATCCCTTCTGGCCTCATGTCTATGCACACTTTCACAACAAACTTTGTGAAAGGGTTGTTTCTCCGTATACCTCTAATACCTTAGCCCCCAGTCTTTCAAATTCACTCCAATCAGAATTTCGCCTTCAACATTCTAGAGAAATTGCTTTAGTCTTCAAATTAGAGAAAATGGACAATCTTTCAGTGAGAAGTACATGAATGGTGAAGGAAAGGGGGATGTCCATCCTGGTAGCTCATGTGAAGAACCTTGATCAATGAGGAAATGGATCCCAATGTCACATCGCTTTCCCAATCTAGAGGGAGCGCTCAGAACCAGACAAACCGAGAAGTCATCTGATACCTGGGGGTTCATGTTATATCAAAAGGCAGCACAGAAAGCGAAAAAGGTGAAAGAGGACACTTCCTACATTTAAAGGTTGACTACAGGAGCTGGACACGAAGAACCAAGAAAGTACAGTACCATGGAAAACCAAGGTAACAAAAATGGAGTGGCAGAGACAGTAAGGACCTGGAGGAATAAATGATGCTAAGGGGTCGGGGGACTGGCTAACAACTGTAGATGGTTTTCTTTGAGGAATAAAAGGGCAGGAGAAGGTAAAGAAAATGCAAAACATGATCATACACAAACAAAAATCTTCAGTACACGTGGCACAGTACTTACCCAATGGCTACTAAATCTTCATGATGAGGTGAACAAGTAAGACAGAAAATTGTCCTGGGTTCTATAAAGAGATGCTGGCTGTCATTTCTGTTAAGCCAGTAACAGAAAACTACTCCTTTTTCATCCCCAGATACTATTAAGTCCTTTACTCGAGGAGACCAATGTAATGTTGATATCGTATGCTTTAAAACAAAACAAAAACTTGTTATTGTCAATGCTAAAGTTTTACTTAATTTTTAACTTGTATCACAACCCAGCATAATGCTATGTACATACATTAAAAGTAGCTAATACTTAGTAGTACTTGTAGAGCAACATGATATTAACAAAATGGTGGGAAGATTTAGACTACAGGGGATCAAATGATCATAAAATTTTTTTTAACAGCTTAATGCAAAGTTCTTACGAAGATTAAGTGGGTTTTTCTTTTCCCTTGTTCTCTCAAAAGGCAGGTATATCAAGTAACTATCTAGTTTAGAAATGAGTTTAATTCACTCATTTACAGTCTCTATCAGAAGTCTATTTATATCAATAACCAGAGGGTAACTGTTGTTATTGTTTTTTGAGATGGAGTCTCACCAAGGCTGGAGTGCAGCAGCTGATCTCAGCTCACTGCAACCTCTGCCGCCCAGGTTCAAGCAATTCTCCCAACTCAGCCTCCCGAGTAGCTGGGATTACAGGTGTTTGCCACAGCACCTGGCTAATTTTTCTATTTTTAGTAGAGATGGGGTTTCACCATCTTGGTCAGGATGGTCTTGAACTCGTGACCTTGTGATCCACCTGCCTAGGCCTCCCAAAGTGCTGGGATTCCAGGCGTGGGCCACCGTGCCTGGCAGAGGGTAACTGTTTTAGACTTTTTGGACCATACCATGCCTGTTACAACTACTCAATTCTTATAGCATTAAAGCAGTCATAGACAATACTTAAATGAATTAGTGTGGTTCTATTCTAATAAAACCTATTTGCAAAAATAGGCACAGAGCAGTTTGCCAACCTCTGGTTTGTATGTATCTCCTTTCAAAAAAAGTTGAGACAGCTTACAATATAGAATCTTATCTAATTAATGAACACAATTATAAGTTACTTCGCACAGATGAGTTAGCGAAACTAGCTTGAAACCCAAGAGCCCTCAGTACAGACATATAAAAACGGTCTGAGAAACCAGTAAGCCATGGTACCTGATGGAGTGCATGTTCTGTCACAACTGTTTTTGTCTCTACATCCCATATTTTCACAGTCCCATCGTCGGAGCTGGTGGCACAGAGGTTGTACTGACCAGGGTGATGAGAAAATGTGAAGCCAGAGACCCTCTCGGTGTGTCCCACCAACTCTCCTATGACTTCAAGTAAAACCAGATGTTAGATTAATCGAAGTGCTATCCAAGATTCCTGGCAGAATCATACTGTTGTTGGACGATAAGGGAGCAGATACTTTGGAGTTACTCAACCCATGGTATAACCGAAATACGACGGACTCACAATCAGAACTCCCAAGTGCCACGTGACTTCGAACAAGTCTTTTTGAGCCTCAGCTTCTCAACTGTGAAATTAATGCTGATATACCTCGCTGTGCTTAGTTCAGAGGCTGGAAAGCAGCTCAAATAATGTGATAGCGACTCTTTTTTTTTTTTTTGAGACGGAGTTTCATTCTTGTTACCCAGTCTGGAGTGCAATGGCGCGATCTCGGCTCACCGCAACCTACGCCTCCTGGGTTCAGGCAATTCTCCTGCCTCAACCTCCCGAGTAGCTGGGATTACAGGCATGTGCCACCATGCCCAGCTAATGTTTTGTATTTTTAGTAGAGACGGGGTTTCACCATGTTGACCAGGATGGTCTCGATCTCTTGACCTCGTGATCCACCCGCCTCGGCCTCCCAAAGTGCTGGGATTACAGGCTTGAGCCACCGCGCCCGGCCCTGATAGCGACTCTTATTTAGATCAGGCCAGAATAAATGACCCGACACGTCATATCCCAAGGCACAATCAAAGCCTAGTTTGGAGCCTGAAAACATCTGGCTCAACCCAGTCATCTTACAGTAATGAATGTCACACGTCGAAGGATCATGCATAGAGCCTGCAGCTGTAGTCAGCCCCCAACCTCAGGAAGGCTCCCGAGGGGCTGGCGTGCACCGGGCTGGGCGGGGGAGCCCTATAAACGGCCGGGACTGTACAGGGCTAACTTTTCAGTCAGCAAGCAGTCCCACGTGGAAGCTCCAGGAGGCGGGACCGCTCAGCCACAGCATGCTGTAGCTCATTCTGGGGACCAGAAGTAACTCAGTTTAGTGAATCTGGGCTGACTCTTCTCCCAGTCTGGACCTCAGTTTCCCTAGCTGTAGAAAACGGGGTGGCTGGAGGTGTCCACTCGGCGCCCCTGGAGAGCGTAGAAAGGGCAAGAGGGCTCGGGACCAAGGGTGGTGAGTTACCTCGAAACGGAGGTGTCCCAGGACTCTCGCCTGCGCCCGGGCCCACGCGGACAAGGAAGACGGAGGTCCGCGCGGCGAAGCCAAAGAGGCCCCCGGGCACGGCATCGCTGCAGCGGGCGCAGTACCAGTTGGGGGAGGGCGGCAGCGTCCGCGGCTCTTGCCCCATAATTACAGGTCGTCGGAGCCAAGAGAAGCAGCCAAGAGAGAGAGAGCTCGCAGCCTCACGCCTCAGCCTGGGGTTGGGAGGGGGGGTGGGGGGGGGCGGGCTAAACGCTGAGCCCCGCCTTCTCGGGCAGTCGCTACGGTGCGCGCCGAGGCCCAGCTAGCACTGCGCGTTCCGTGCTCGCTGCCGCCGGGCTGGGAGGGGCCTGACCGCGTGCGCTGCGCTGGCCCTCCCTACCTAGCCCGGGGGAGGAGGTCCGCCCCAACCCCGGCTAGGGTCGGGTGTTGCCTGAGCACAGCCCCGAGGTTAAGCATTTCACTATCCACAGGAAGGCACAAAATTAGAGGATTAGATTAGTGGAACCACCGCCCCACACTACCAGTTTACTCTTTGGACTTGTTCAACCACGACGCGTTCATTGTTTTTTGAACGCTCTGTGCCAGGGCACTTCGCTAGTTGTGGATGTGTTTTAAAGGTATGCACAAGGAGTCACCTAACAAAAATATGGAGCCCGGAGGACAGGCTGGAGTGAGCTGTGATTGTGCCACTACACTCAAGCCTGGGCAACAGAGTGAAACCTTGTCCCAAAAAAATAAACAAAAATGTGAAAGTACAAATCTGGAATTAAAAAGGGAAAGAACACTTTCTGCAACTCGGTGGAAATTCTGGCTCTGGGTTCTGGGCATTCAAAGATGAAAGAGAAGCAAATGGAGTGACTCGATTTGCTTGATTGAGAGCTCTGTGAAGGAACCTGTATGTGGCAAATGGTGTGAAAGAAAGTTTCCTTCCAACTAAAAAATGCTAAAATGCTCAGATTCTGCACTACTTGTGTGTTGCTTATTTGCATTGGGTATCTGGCACTCCTGCGTATGTAGCAAACCGAAATCTGAACTACCGGTCATTAATACAGAGAGGTCAAATACATATATTTCGCTACATCTAGGGGCACGAGCTTTCGAGACACCCTAGCTGCAGATTGATCACTGGTTTGCCAGTTGTTAGCTGAGAGACTTTAACCTATCCTAAATATGTTTCCTCATTTGAAGAAGGAAAATGATAATCCATGCCTTGTTGGATTGCTGTGAGGAATAAATGAGATTTGGTGAAATACCTGCCGGACATATGGCAGTAAATGCCCGATGAATATAAACTCATTTCCTGGAGGTCAACCAGATTAGTAGGGATTAGGACAGCATACATCATATTTAAACTATTTGCTGTTTAAAAGAGATTTTAGGCTAGGCTTGGTGGCTCACACCTGTAATCCCAGCACTTTGGGAGGCGGAGGAGGGTGGATCATCTGAGCCCAGGAATTCTAAATCAGCCTGGGCAATTTGGCGAAACCCAGCCTCTACAAAAAATACAAAAATTAGTCAGGTGTGGTGACGTGCACCTGTAGTCTCAGCTAACTGGGAGGCTGAGGTGGAAGGGTGGCTTGAGCACGGGAGGTCGAGGCTGCAGTGAGACTAGGTCATTGCCACCGCACACCAGCCTGAGCGAGAGATCCTGTCTCAATAAAATGAAATAAAATAGCTTTCACACAATTTCAACTGATCTTTATAACAAGCTTGTGCCCTAGGGTTAGTTATTTCTGAGAAGAAAACTGAGGGCCATCTGATTACATGGCTTGTTCATGGATTCTGTTCCCCTACGCCTTTCGAGTTTGTGAGTTCGGGCTTCACAATTTTTCTGAATCCAGGTGAATTTTCGGAAGCCCACGAGCTTTCGAACTTTATTAATTCATTTATTCCCAAGCCAGGCTCGCCTGATCACACCTTGAGTGGTGGCGCTGTGCTCGCGATCTTCGTGACAGCACAGCGGGTGTCGGTAGTGCTGCGGGGAGAGCCCCACAGGAATTCCCGAGTATTGCGCATGCGTGCTGTCTAGAAGGCCCTTGAACTCGGAGGCTTCCGTAGCGAGAGGGCGGAAGATGGCGGCGGCAGTACTGGATCAGTTGGGTAAGGATTTCTTAGTGCTTAACCGGCGGAAGGGAGTCCAGATGGAATCTGAGTTGACGGCTTGTGTTCATGTTGCAGGTGCGTTGTGGATACAGAACCTGAGGAGCCGGGGGAAGCTGGCCTTGGGGTAAGTCTCTCGCTTCGGAGTTTCAGAAGGGCCCAAGGCCTCTTTACTATTCTGCCAGTTGGTAACTGAGCGCCTTCGTGCCTAACTGCTTTAGGCTCTGGGGCTAGTGAGGCGAACGAGACAGCCCGAGTCTCTGCTTTGCCACCCTATTTTTCGCCACCTTATTGCATAAGCCCTGCAGGGATCAGGAGTACCCATTACCTAAGGGCCATTGTAAATGCGTTTTCTGAACGTCTGCTATGATCTTTCTGGACAAGGTTAGACAATTCCATCTCCATATGGATGCGTCCAGCTTTTCTAGTTACCCTTCTGGTTACTTGCTTGCATGGACGGGGACTGTGTTGTGGACAGCCGTGGTTTACATCGTACCTGACATTGTGTTTAGCGCTTTATATACTTTAACTCGTTCTCATAACATTCTACGAGTAGGTACTGCTGTACTCATTTTTCAGACAAGGAAATTGAAGCCCCCAAGCGTAACATAACTTGCCTACTGCCACTCAGTTGAAGGAACTTTTGAAGCTTTATACTGTACTCTCCAGATCATTCTGTAGCCTTAGGACAAAAGCAGTCGCCGTTGCTCCCCAAAAATTAATTTTAAAAAATCAGTATTTGAAAATTGATAATCTGATTGTAAATTTTCTGTTCTGTGCATTTGTTAGCATTTATTTTGGTTTAGTTCATAGGCTTTGGAGACGGATGAGTTATATATGAATCCACTTTTTAACTGATTTTGGAAAAGCTATTTATTTATTTTCGCCCACCTCCTCTCCCGCCAAGTTACTTACTCTTTATAAGCTTCAGTTATCACTTACATGATATGAGAGTAATATTAGTAACTATCTCTTAGGTTTTAAAAAAGTTTAAAATTTTTATTTATTTATTTTTTGAGATGAGGTCTTACTACTATGTTGCCCAGGATGGTCTCAAGAGGTTGAAATGATCCTCTTACCTCAGCCTCCTGAGGTGCTGGTATTACAGGCACATGCCATGCATGTAACCCTAATAGATTTTTAAAATGAGGTTCAAACAAGATAATGCATATGAAGTATTTAGTATGTTTATGGCATATGATAATCCCATTCTGAATTCCAGTAGCCACTAATGTTTCTATTATTATAAATATTACTGAGTTCCCAATTATATTTAACTCTTTTCTAGGTTCTTGAGTCCTAGGGGGATAAAGAGGTGGGCTAAAGAAGAAAATAGGAAGCACTAGCTCTTAGGATTTGACTATATGCTTCCTACATAACCTTCTATCACTCTACCCCCAACCATGCTGATTTACTTACTTTTTCTGAATATACTGTGCACTTATATGCTTCTTGGCTTTTCCTCCTATGCCATCACATCTTGTCCATAGCAGCAGTCCTACCCATTATTCAAACCTCTGTTCAGATGTTTTCCCTTCAGGAAGTTTTCTTAAGTCTCTCTAAAACGGAAAGAAATTAGTTTTTCCTTCCTTTTAGCATGTGTGCCTTCTATAATGTCTTCATGTATATGTGTCTATGCCCTTTACTAGCTTGTGTATCTTGGAGAGGTTGGACATTTATTTGTTGTTGTAGCTCCAGCATAAGGTCTTACACAAGTTAAATGTTTTGATGTTGAGTTGAATGTCTTGCACCAACTTATATTAAGAAGCTCTGAGCAAGAAACTTAAGCTGTTTGCCTTTAGTCCTTTCCTCTATGTCATGATAAAGGAGTGTTGGATTTTGCTAGATAATCTCTAAGGCTATTTGCAATTAAATTGCTACATAATTTTGTGAATCCTTATTTTGGATTTTCTGGTGGGGAAAATGACCATAAGAAAACTAAGTAGAAAGGTATAAATAATGTTCATGATAACCTTGTAATATCTTACCGTATAATCGGATTCGGTGATTAGAAACTTTTTTTTTCCTTTTTTTTAGAGACAAGGTTTCGCTCTGTGCCAGACTAAAGTGCAGTGCTATGATCATAGCTTACTACAGCTTCAAACTCCTGGGCTCCTGCCTCAGCTTCCTGAGTAGCTAGGACTGCAGATGCATGCTACCACACCTGGCTAATTTTTTAATTTTTTCGTAGCGACAGAGATCTTGCTATATTGATCAGGCTGGCCTCTTAACTCCTAGGCTCAAGTGATCCTCCTGTCCTGGCCTCCTAAAGTGATGGAATTACAGGCATGAGCTGCCTGGCCAGTGATTGGAAACTTAATTGCATATAGGCCCCAGACTAGAAATGAAAAACTAAGGGAAGTTGTCTGTGTAAAATGAGAAAGTGGAGGGCCTATGGCAGTCAGTAGAGTGCATTCCTCATCTTTTTTTTTTTTTAAATTTATTTTATTGCATTTTAGGTTTTGGGGTACATGTGAAGAACATGCAAGATTGTTGCATAGGTACACACGTGGCAGTGTGATTTGCTGCCTTCCTCCCCATCACCTATATCTGGCATTTCTCCCCATGCTATCTCTCCCAAACTCCCAACCCCTCACTGACCCTCCCCTATTTCCCCCCAACAGACCCCAGTGTGTAGTGCTCCCCTCCCTGTGTCCATGTGTTCTCATTGTTCAACACCTGCCTATGAGTGAGAACATGCAGTGTTTGATCTCCTGCTCTTGTGTCAGTTTGCTGAGAATGATGGTTTCCGGGTTCATCCATGTGCCTACAAAGGACACAAACTCATCATTTTTGATGGCTGCATAATATTCCATGGTGTATATGTGCCACATTTTCCCTGTCCAGTCTATCATTGATGGGCATTTGGGTTGGTTCCACGTCTTTGCTATTGTAAACAGTGCTACAGTGAACATTCGTGTGCACGTGTCCCTATAGTAGAACGATTTATAATCCTTTGGATATATACCCATTAATGGGATTGCTGGGTCAAATGGAATTTCTATTTCTAGATTCTTGAGGAATCGCCACACTGTCTTCCACAATGGTTGAACTAATTTACACTCCCACCAACAGTGTAAAAGTGTTCCTATTTCTCCACATCCTCTCCAGCATCTGTTGTCTCCAGAT